CCACGGGAGTGGGGTTGGCCGGGGGAGATCGGGAGGAGGAAAATGGACTGATTTGTCCGGTTTCCTGAGAAACGCTGGGTAACTCCAGCTAGTAATTAATATAATGTGTGTGTGTGTGTGTGTGTGTGTGTATCGTGCTTTTTGTGGGGAAAACCCACTTCCTCAGATGAGACTGTAATTGTAATTATCGTATAACTACCAGTGCACCCTAATCCAGGCAGATTCCAGCCCTCATGTATGTTTTGCATCCGTGACCAAAGATGTCTAGAGGACTACAATCTCTTCCCAGTGAGGAGGCTGAGGTGGGCTAGACAGAGCTTGGGAGGATGTACTGTATATCTTGTAGTCACACATAATTGCTTTTTTTTTTTAACAATAAGGGTGTGTGGAATGTATTGGGAGTGTGGCTGAGGCAGGACAGAGAATGGTGATTACTAGGCAGGAAGTCCCCTCTTGCCTGAGTGCCTCAGTTTCCCCCATAAAGCCTGGGCAAATAACACCTGTGGGAGCAGAGCCAATATCTGCCCCAATAATAACAAAGCAGCATGTGCAGCCCCAGCACCTGAAAGACAACGACAAATTATACATGCCAATGTACAGGAGAAGCAACAAAAAAACCCCACAAAATTTACCTCACTACCGCTGCGCCTGCTCACTGCATCCTCCAGGGCCTGGGTCACTGCTCCCACGTGTTCCTTGGTGTCTCAAGTTCAAGGGGCTCGGCTTCAGATACAGGCACAGACACAGGGATGAGGGGCAGCCTCCTTTCCTCCAACAGCACATTCAGGGTGTGTTTGCCACTGTGACTGCCCCCAATCCCCTCAGTCACATGTCATGAGGAGTGTATACAAGGAGAAATTCCAACAGATCAAATAAGCCAAATATTTTTCTGTTCCCTGTCTACAGGTATCAGGTTCCTGACCTGTGACACGATCTATCACCTGAGGAAGCAGATGTCCCATTTCCCCTTTTCAGTGTGGTGCACCAAGGATGAGGAGGCAAACGGTCTAATCACAGAAATGTGGTGAGGTCACCCTCATATAGAGCGAGTGGTGGGGGATTTCTGAGGTGACGTCAGTTATAAGGCAGCTCAACTGGCTTGAACCAGCTTTTCACGCCTTGCCTCTGATGCTCTAATTTTTCAGAACAAAATGGAGTCCTGTGGTAAACGCCATTTTGAATACTCAACTCCATATTGTACAAGCATCATGATCAGGAGCCATGGGGGGTAAAAGGCAAACAACACAAACCCCCACAGGCACTGACAATAATAAACACACAAAACCTCCAACGGGGAGTCCAGACATGAGGGGAACCCCAACTTCAGCTGCTCACTCACTCTGCACTAGAAGAAAAAGGCAGGTATTTGGGGGAAAGGCCCCAAATCCACAGACCTTCCCCATCCTAGCAGTGGGGTTTATAAAAAAAAAACAATCCCCAAGGTTTGAATTTGGGGGAGATAGGGAAATTATGCTCTGGGCAGAGTTGAGAAAATGAAGCAGAGAAATAAAGGGTATGTCTAGACTACAGGGTTTTGGGGAAACCAGAAGTCTCCTGGAAAAAACCCCGCTGTGTCCAGGGACTGCATTTGCTCTTCTGCTTTTTTCACAGAAGAGCAGACATGCTCTTTCGGGGAGCCCTGTATATCTTGTTCTAAAGAGGAGGCTTTTCTGCCATTTAGCCCCATCTCCACCCCCTTCCCTTTTTCTCCCTCTCCCCATTTCTACCCCCTTTTCCTCTGCTCTAGCCCCATCCCCTCCCTCCTCCCACTAGCTGGCTCTTGCCTGAGAGCTGTGCCTGATCCCCACCCCCACTCTGGCCCATTGAGATATTCCCTCAGGTGACAGTTGGGCTCCCCATGTCCCCTCAGGTGACAGTTGGGCTCCCCCCCACTCTTCCCCAGGTCACAGTTGGGCTCCTCCCATCCCCCCTCCAGGTGGCAGTTGGTCATTTCCCTCCTATTGACGAGTCCATCACTGACTCTGCTCGCCACACCCAGAGCTGGGGGGTCCAGCCTATCCCCACAGGGCCCCCCAGGCTCCAGCCAGTCTCCAGCCCACGGAGCAAAGGGCCACGGAGCCCCTGGCTGTTTGCTCCCCTAGTGACATCCCCTCGCCCTGCAATGCAACACGCGGGTGACGCTGGCAGTGCCCAGACACAGCCAGATGCCCAAGAAAGTGCAGGGACCAGACGGACTCTGCCTGCTGAGGCGCCTGCACTGGAGAGGCCCGGAGCAAACTCCCCAGCTCTGGGAGTCGGCCTGGAGCCCAGCTGGCCCAGCGGCTGCTGAGCCCAGACTGTGGGTGTCTCTGGGTTTTATTATCCAGGCAGGGCGGGTGAGGCCAAAGTTTCTATTGAACCAACATCTGCTGGGGAGAGAGATGCTTTCCAGCCACATGGCTCTGCTGTCCTACACCTCTGCAAGCAACATTTTTAATAAGTCATACTGTGGTAGCGAGGGCCTGAAGAGGAAAGAGCCATTGCTCGCCTTTGCCAAATGACAGGCTGACCAACCACAAAGGTGGGATTCAACCCACCCATACCAAATACAAATATTCAGCCTTAATTCCTCAGCTGCCGCTATCCCAATGGGGCATCTTTCACACAGTGACACTTAGTCACCCAAGAGTAGGCACCCACATCAACCTACAGAAGGAAAAAAATAGAGCTGGCCTAGAGGGATACAGATCCCAGAACCACATCATGCAAGACAGCTGAGTGAGTTTGGCGATAGACTATTAATCTACTGTCTGCTACACATGTGTTTGAATTCCCCCTTGGTTGTTGGCTGCCCCCTCCTCTTTGGGTGGAGGCAGCCACTTGCTTGCTTTTCTGTGACTCTTTTCTGAGCTAAGCCTTACAATTGTCAATCCCCACAAATTGAATGTCACAGCACTTCCCATACCAGGTAGCCTGGGCAAAGGGGAATAGGTCCCAGGAAAGCTGAGTAGCCTACGGGGCAGAGCACAAGGCCTGGGCATGCTGGGGGTAGGGTGAGAGTGTGGCCGGGGGGAGATGACAGGTCCTGGGTGAGTTGTGAGAGTTGTCTGAGGGGAGACAGAATAGGCTGAGCTGGGGGGTGGCCTGGTGGGGGAAGAGTACAGGCCCTGGGCAGAGGGGTTGATTAGCAGGGGAGATAAAACAGCTCTGGCCTCCAGCCTCCTGCAATCCCCACCCCATCCCCAAGGCCCTGCCATAAAGGACCTGAGCAATGCTGGATAAGTCTGCTAGTAGAGACATAAAATAAAATATTTAAGGAAAAATTTAGTTTTCTAATGGGAAAAATGTCTTAATGAGTAAGCAGGGTCTGAATCAATGCACCTGATGAAACCATCTGGAATGGGAAAGGAATCCGAGGTGTGGTCATGTAAATACACTTCAAGCAGGTTGCTCAGGCCTGCTAGATGTTCAGTTAGAAGCTGCTTTGCCCATTGTAACCAATTTTCCTGTTGTGCGAATCACAAACGGTGTTAAAACTAAATGCAAGAATTGTAAGATATGATCACCAATGCTTGCAGTTATTGTGGGAATGCACAATGCAGAAAAGTCCAACTGTGTTTAATTCAGTTAAAAGAAGAGCCTCTGCCGTGTAAATATACTTGGATGGACAGAAACTGGTCTTTTAGAGATTGAGCTGGGGAGGGCGGTGAGTCAGCAGGCTGTCTGGCCTCCAGGGTGTGCTGTAAGACTGCTTCAACCAGTTTGTCCCCACTGGTTCAATGACAGTGTTATAAAAAGGTTCCATAAGGAGTCCCTTTTATATGTACCTGTGTGTTCCAGTGGATACTGCAATCCCCTGTGGCTGGACTGTGCTTTGGCCCAGAGTTGAGTCCACCATAAGCCAGCAGAGAGGATGAGATGACTCCTACCCTCCCCCAGGATGGGAGGTGAACTCTGTGTGTCACCTCTGAATTCTGGTCTGCACTGAACAAGGGCCATGACCGAGTGGGGTGCAGAGAAGGGTTGAGCATGTGAACGAGACACTTACATTGCCAGACTGGAGAGATTCAGAGGAAACGGTCATTGCCCAACCTCCTCGAGCTGGGACGTTTACTCATGGGTTTGTTTGAACTCTGTGGTGTTTTCCAAAATTAATGCCATGTTACTCCTTTCCCGTTTTATTAAATGCTTCTCTTCTACACAGGCTACGTGTACACGGCTTCTTGTGCAAGAACTGTTTGGTGGAAGAGTTCTTGTACAAAAAATCTTCCACAAGAGCGCGTCCACACTGCCATGTGCTTTTGCACAAGAGCGTCCATGGCAGTGTAAACACTCTCTTCCGCCAAGAAAGCTCTGATGGCCATTTTAACCATAGGGGCTTCTTGTGCAAGAAATTCATGTTGCCTGTCTACACAGCCCTCTTGTGAAAGAGCTCTTGCGCAAGAGGGCTTATGCCTCATAGGGAGAGAAATAACTCTTCTGGAAGAAGCCCTGTTTTCCAACGCTATACTGTAAATTTACTTGTGCAAGAACGTGCGTGAAGTGTAGACAGCTGGCAAGTTTCTGCGTAAGAACAGCTGTTCTTGCACAAGAAGTATGCAATGTAGACACAGTCTCAGGCTCTGTGCATGCAAGTGGGGAAGCCTTGCCTCCCAGAGGTGCCCAGGGATGGGATACAGATTTCTCAGGTTACAGAGTGGGGACTCGAGCCAGTTCTGTGTTGGAGGGAAGGAGAGGAACCCCTAGATATTGAACCTGGCCCTGGCTGCTGCTAGTGCTACCCGGCAGAAGGGTTACAAATGTAAAATTCCCAGCCAGCCCTGTTGCAGTCATCATTGACTGTGTTGTTTCCTCTGTGCCTTTTGTGTACATGGTGCTGTACTGTTAGGCCACATACAACACAGTCCCTGCCCTGACATCCAGCTGTGTGTCACACTTTTCACTAGAATGTTACACCTCCCAGAATCCTTTGCCAAAGTCCTTGGTATGTCTGTGGCCTGGGCTGGCTGCTCAGTCAGTTAGTGCTAGGTCTTGGATATACACCAGATCTGGGTGCGCCACAAAGCTTCCTGAAATCCAAGACCACCAGCTCCATCTTGTTCTGCTTGCCCATCACCCTCATTGGTCAGGTTCTGGATCATCTTTTCTAGTACCTGTTGCACCTTTGGTCATGGAGGGAGAGTCCCTACACCCAGATTTTTAGGGAGTTTAGATTCTAACTTTGTGGCCTCGAGCTGTCTGTATCATAGGCCCAAACCACAGCCAAAGTCCACACGCCCAAACTCTGGAGATAGACAGAATAGAACCCACAGCGGAGTCTCCAGTTGCTCTGTTCCCGTCCCACATCACTTTCTCCCATTTCACAACCATTGTTGTGTTTAGAAATGTGAGCCAGTTTGGAGTCTATAAACTGATGGGGGATGCGTCTTTCTACCAGGCAGGCTCTAGCTTGGAAGTTAGCAGCTTAGTGCAGGGATCCCGGGGGTGAGGCCTGGGTTGTGCAGATGCTCTAAGTAGATGGTCCCATTGGTCTCTTCTAGCCTTTAAATGTACAGCTATGAAAACAAACCGCTCTAGAGACCGCATGAGAACAGACTAAATGGAAAGAGAGAGAATGAGTCAGGTTAACGTGTGAGGACAAAAATAGCATTACAAAAGCAGGTTAGTCAATCCCACATCACAGTGTGTGACACACCACCATTGTGCTGGGCTGCTGATTCGGGACCAGGCCTCAAGAGAGCTCACTGCTGGGTGGTGGAGGAGGTATCTGCACAGGACTCTCTGCAGACTCTGCAAGATGCTCAAGTCACTGTCGGTTCCTCCTGTGGTTGCCCCCCTGTGCAGCTGCACGGAGTAGCTGGACTGGGTGGGCAGAATGTTTCTGAGCAGGGGCCATTGTTCAAGGCACCAGCTCTTCTCTCTTCTTTTCTGAGCAGCAGCTAATCACTCTGCAGTCCTACAGCATATGACTGTATCAATATTCCCTGAAGGGCTGGGGAATTTTGCCCTGGAGTTTGAGCCATGGGAGGGAGCCAGGATCGAGCCCACACAGAGTAGGAGATGGGACTCTGTGAGATCAATTCAATCCCCTGCAGCAGATTTCCCAGCTTGTGTCTCTGATGTATTCCTTGTTTCCCAGTCTCTTTCCATCCAGGCTTTTCCCCTCTTTAGCTGAAATAGTTCAGGGTCACTGGCCTTCCAGTCAGATACCCAGTTGACAAGGCTGGGGAGGAAGGAAGATCTAGTGCACTGAGGATCAAGGACCCTGTGTTCACTCACTGACTCAGCTGTGGACTCCTGTATGTCTTGGTCACTCTGGCCTCAGTTTCCCTATCTGTGAAATGAGGATACTTCTCTACCTCTCAGGTATCTATGAGGAGATAATCTATTAGGGTTCATCTACACAGCACCCTAAAATCAAAATCAGATACTCAATTTTCACCATGCAAATTGTATATCTTATTTTGATTATATTTCAAAATAGTGTATTTTGAAATTTGACATGTCTACACAGCACCAAATTTCAAAATAATGCACTATTTTGAGACATTCCTTAACCCTCATGGAATGAGGATTATGGGGATACTGAACTAGAGCACATGTTATTTTGAAAAATATTTGGAGATAATGGGCACCTTTAAAAGACACGGGGTAGCTATTTTGGGATACCTCCCTTATTAATGACAGTGAGGGCTTCACATACGTACTCTGACTAGAAGGTCCCATTGGTCACTTCTGGCCTTTAAATGTATGACTGTGAAAATAAACTGGGCTGGGAACCTCACAAGAGCAGACTAAATAGAGAGAGAGAGAGGGTGAGAATGAGGCAGGTTAACATGTGAGGGCAAAAATAACAGTATGAGAGCAGGTTATTTGGTCTCACATGTGCAAAGACATGGTGAGCAGTGACAGGAAGAGCTGTTTATCTTAGAACTTCTCTACAGATTGGAAAGTTTACCGTTGTAATTAAACCTCTAAAGCTTTGCTGGTGTAACTCCCACAGGGACACTTTTATTGTGGAATCAAAGCCTTTTGTCGGGTTTATTAAAATATTAAGGCAGGACGGAACCCCTCTGCTCAACTCCCCCAAAATAATTCCTGATTGAACTAGAGCATCTCAGAGAAAAACATCCACACTTGATTTCAAAATTGCCAGTGATGAAGAATCTACCCCGGCCCTTGGTTTGTCCCAGCGTTAATTACCCTAACTTTGTAAAAATTACACCTTAGAGCTCACAATGCTTCCAAAACAACATAAAGATAAACCAGGAAAAGACTCTTGCACCACACTTGGGATGTGCACAGGGACTGACACTGGTGTAACTGGAGTCGGATAAACTCTCCCCTTAGCTGATACCAGACAACTCACAGTGAAACACTAGAGCAGCC